CAATAGACAGTTGCCGCATTTTTAGAAAGGACACGCTGTAAATATAGGCAAAACTGACTCGACGTTTTTGTCGCGACGCCTGTGAGAAAGAAAGTGTCGACGATGATGATGCTTGTGAGAAGTACATTGTTTGTTGCATTTTTCGTTCCCTCTTGCTTCAGACTTATATAATCTCGAAAGAAATTTATTATATTGGGCTCGGGTGATCTGTTCTGTTAATCGGTACGTTTATATAATAATTTACAATAAATATATTTCCATTGTTCGTTTTTAATTACGTACATATAGATTCTCTCGCTATTTTGATACACACGTTACATTCTATGTACATTAAAGTGGGTGTTGTGAAAAAGATCGATATCATCAAGTTTAATAAAATACTATTTTCCATTGTTTAATACTTCTTATTATATTAATTACTATCGAAACTCCTATAATGAACAGTTGCCCATTCACCGCGTGGCACTTTTGAGAATGATTAAAGAGGAGAGAAATTTAGATGATTAATTATTACAGTCTCTTCGATTCAATATTGATATCGACATCGATGTGATTATTTTAATTGTATGGTGAAAATACATTGACATAAAACCGAAACGAATCTGGATTTGTATCAAACAAAAATAAAATCAATCTTTAAGTTCAATTACGAATTCGTTTCTTTTAGCAAAAACAAGCATCTTTGCCCTTACATTCAGCATGACTATTATCAAAAAGCAAAGCAGCACTTCGACGACAAATGGTTTGTGTTATGAAAGTTATGAAATAGAATGCGTGTTTTGAATTCGTTCAACATTACGGATTTTAACAGCTTTTCATTGGTCAAGAGTTGAAAGTTGGTATCTAAAGAATGTTCTGTATAGAATGGACAGTTTTTTTATCAAGTAAGGAAATTGATAAAATCATATTCAATATTCGAAAAAGAACAAAGTTTATTAAACTGACTGCTATCAATGAACCGACAGTTAATTTTCCTTTCATTCATCATAATACAAGTTATCACTTTCAACACTCATAACAACGTCCCTTCTATTCTCGTCCATTCTTCATGTCGTTTTTCAGCAATTGATAACGAAGATACAGCACCAGTTGCAAAAAAGTTAAAAAAACACATCCAAATTGAAGATTAATTTTCATCTCGTCTTCTTATGACGTTTGAGCCAATTTGAAATCAACGCTAATTTAAGTAAAACCTTATCATCGTCGAGTGATTGCATTTTTTATAGAAGTAACGTCATATAAAAGATAGTCGAGATTAGTATTATACATGTATTTTTGAATTTTTTGATTTTGGAAGTTTACAGGGAAAATCACTATTATTTATATAGTGCATTTGATTCCTTAAATAAAAGACAGATTTCTAAGGGATATGAATATTTCTTTTGCAGATGATGCAGGATAATAATAGTAATAATAATGCGATTTTTTATTATGATTTTTATAAAATCTTTCTATATACGTATAAAGAGTAATCAAATCCTCTAGCTATAGTATAATTAAAAACACGAGAAACAATTCTAATTAATTCTTAATCTCGCTAACCGAATTTCTATAGATTTCGCAATAGCGGTCAATAACCCAGTAGTCTCAATAATTTCTTCATGTAACTGTTGTTGTCTTGCTCGTTGTCTGACTAATCTTTCATTTCGAGCTTTAATATGGCGGTTGACCAAAGAAGAAATTAAAACTTGGTTACGTAAATTCTCTTCTTGGTAATAAATTCGAATTTTTGCATAAGAAAGAGCGTGAAAGTAAGTGAAACCAGCCAAGTTCCCTATTGATGCTGTTTCTACTGATTCGGATATATACTTTTTGTTAACGTTGTTAATTGTATCATTTTTGTTGGTGTTATTATTGTGAACCTCGTTATCGCTACAGTCGTTTTTGTTGAGTTTTTTATTATAGATTAGTGGGCGAATCATTTTTTTTATTTAGTTCAACTAAAAAACTTACTACATGTATTTTGTGCCGATTATATATACATATGGTAATTCGAATTCATTATGACGATAATTTATCGTTATGCATGATTAACGTTAATTACCTTTACTAAATACATGTGCGTATAAGTACTTATTTGTCGAAAAATAGCCATTTCTAGTGCAACGGTTGTACCGGGCAATGTGTTATCAACATTCCCCTGGGATGCATTTACCACGGAATGCCGAATAATTTTGCGATCCCTCCCCTCCCCTACCTAACAACAATATTTCCATCGATCTCTTTGATGTTCGATTTAGTGTTTTAAATCTCTAAAACGGTGTGTCATATCCTATTTATCCATCTTATATTGGGACTGTTCTTTAGATTTTTAATATGTAAATCTATATTAAAAATTAAGTAATAATTGAAACTTCATAATCAGAACAAGTGCTTCATTAAAACAGCATTATCGATTTTAATCCAAATTTCCAAAGTTGATCTTTGAGTTATGAATTATTGTGGTTTATGACGGTCTATTTTGTGCTGAATTGAGTGCTATCTATTATTTTTTTGAATAAAAATGTAAGTGATTATATGTGTGAGTGCCAAAAGCTACTTTACATAGTTTTGTGTGTATCGCATCCTTAAATTTCTCAAAATCTTAGCTATAAAATTCGTGACTTTAAATTAAAATCCCGTGAAACACGTATTTTTATTTAATGATCCACATCTACTGATTGGTTAACTTTTATAATTTTTAAAATCAATAGAAACGCGCTATTCTTAACCAAAAATATCCATAATAATTATATCGCATGTACATTGATACTCATGTAATCTCCTTTTACGGGTTCGTATTTTTCTATATACGGATTTTCCCTCATATTTTCGTACATATATTCTCTAGTATTTTTTTCTTTTGTGTAATCAAAAATTTCACTTGTAATTTCTCACTGCATGGTTTGTAGTAAATGTAACAATCGTAGGAATTTAGAACAGTACAAAAAGAAAAAGAAAAAAATATATAAAGGGAGAGTTACTTTTGCGACGGAAAACATGCTTAATCGAATGAAATAAATAATACTTAACTTTATTTGTTACTTATTGATTAACTTCAAAGTTTGTCATTTGTACAAGTAGTGGAGGAACTTCACTAGAAATAATCCAAAAATTCGAAATTATATTGTTTTGTTGGCAGAAACTAAAGTCCAACCTTTTTGTATTTGAATTCATTATTTTTTGGTTAGCTGAAACCATAATTATATTGCTATTACCAGGCTGTGTCAATAAGTCCTGTCATGTTTGTCTTTTGTTAATAGTCCTCAGAGCCTTCATGGGAGCTCTTTTAACATTATCGTTTTCATTGTTAAAGGTCGATTTGCATACAGAAAATCTACAATAACTCCTTTAATAGTAAATTATTCATTCCAATACTCCTAATAATAGTTACACCATTTTAAAGTAAGGCATAGCACTAGTAATTCATTGCTATAAGTACATGTAAACATGCACCATTTCATATATCTGTACGTCAGCCGGGAAGTATTTATGAAGCACGATAGACCGCGGTTTAAAGTATCTTAAGCATTGGTACAGCGAAGCAAAGAATAATCTAAATTTATCAATTTTTGTTTTTGCTTAAAAGGTTATTAACTCAGCTACTCTATTTAGAAACTCGAGACATGTTGAGTAGATACCCATACGTAAAAAAGCAGAGGAATGATAAATTTTATTACAAGAATGACGAACTGAATGTTGTTGCGATAATGACAGTCCTAAATTTTCATTTATCAGCTTTTTTTATTTATATTTATCAGATATACCAGGATTCTTTTGCTAATATTGTTATTGTAGTTATTTATGAATATATATCTAATTAAAAATATTATTAATCTAAATTTGAAATTATAAAATATATAATAATTATCTGCATAATAATATATACAGTGGCGACCAAAAGTAATGACTCAGGGGCTAAATTTACTAATAAAACATAGTGAAAATTGAAATTTTC